AGTCTCACATGGACTAGAGCTCATAGTGACACAGGAGAAATAAATGATTACCACAGAGAGTCTTTCCTGCATGAGTAATACACACATACACCTTTTCTTCCATAAAAGGAATATAATTATCCAATTGTACCCAGAGATCACAGTTCACAGACTCACATACAAAGTGGGAATTTAGAGAGGTTCCAAGAAGAAAAATGTAGCAACTTCAGAGCACTCAATACAGTGTAAATAGGGGAGATACTGAGGCACAGAAGGATCGTCTGCAGGACTGCTGGACAAGATGACATATAAAACATCAATGGCAAATAGAGAAATTCCTGCTACACTTACTCCAGTAGCACCTCAGAACAGACCAAAGTGGTGGCCACACTCCTCAGGTACAACACAAACCCTGGCAGAAGGCTTAGGCAGGGAGGGCTGGGGAAAGGAAGGGAGGGAACAAACATAGACTAACAGGCTCTTCCTGTTACCACACACACTTCCCCTGGTATTAGCAAAGGGATGAAATACATAAACACAATAGTTATGTGAAAATACTATAAGGTGGAAGAGATCAAGGATGAACTTCAAAAACAACACTGGCCCCATAAACCAGACTCGAACTTTTTAAACAGACTTGCCCTGACACAAGTGAAATCTCACTGATAAATCTCAATACAGGGGGTGGCTGCTCCCTCCAGCAAGAAGCTGCATATTCAAACCAGTGCAAAAAGAACAAGGTTTATAGGAAGAGGCAATTATCCTTGAATTAACCACTGCTACAGAGCTGGAATAGACAAACAAGCTTTTGGTCATACAAACTCTTCTTGAATGCTTCCAGCTAATTAAAACAGGCAAAAAGAATTAATCAACAGAAATTAAAAACAAAAACAATCCCCAAACAACAAAAGAAGAACAACAAGAAGCACACATTCAACATGAGGAAAATATTCCCTGTGGCCCAATTCTAAGATCATGCCTGAGGGCAGCATTCTCCAGAGAAACCTCTGCTTCCTGCCCAGGAAAGAGAAGTTGCTCACACGCACTTCTGCATCATGCCAGGCTAGGTGTTTTAGTGAGACAAGCCTGCAGCATCACAGATAGCAGAGCCCAGCTGCCACCTGTCCCCCTTCCCTTGCACTCACAGAACACTCATGCAGCACAGCGAGCTGCTCACACTGTGCCTAGGGAGAGCCTGAACTTTACCTGGTGGGACTGCAGGCCAATGATGGAGGAATACACCTGGATGGTGACAAAGATTTCTGGCTGGTAGATAATGTCTGAACCAGGGATACGAAAGGGTCTTAACAATCCCACCAAGCATCGGGAAAGGGCATGAAACACTTCATCAAAAATTATCTCCCCCGTTGAGTCATCCTACAGAAACAGAGAAAGGGAACAGCTTTTTCATCTTCTAGGACTTTTAATCTCATTGTTGGTTGTTCCACTGCGCATGGCCAACAGCGAACATCCTTCTGCAATGGCAGCTAGATTAAAGTGACAACTCCTGTAAACAGAAGTCACACATTAAGCATCCAATGGAGAAATAGAATTTGCCATTAAATTCCCAGCCAGGGGCACAGCATGGCTCCCTCCTGGAAAAAGCAAGACTTCTGCAAAAGCTCAGATTGACACCGAGAGCAATAAACCTTTACTCAGCAAACAGAAATGGGTTTGTTTTAATGCAGAACACCCCAAGGAGATGCAGTTTCTGCTCTTACCACAATCCCTGTGGAAGGGCTCAGATCAAGCTCAATCACAAATCGGTACTGACGGGCCAGGAAGGTGACCCGTGTAGAGGGGACAAGGAGGTAGGGCCTGGGCTGGACCGGCTCGTCTGGCTGCCACCCATTAGGCAGGATGCTGAGAACATCAAGCTCATTTTCTGATTTCACCTGCCAGAACAAGCAAGTGAGAGAACATGAGAGAACATCAAGAAACACCAAAGGAAGAATCAAAGAAAGGGATGGGGCTCAGACGCTCTGCAGGGTGCAGGTGCGGCTGAGTGGTGCAGCAGGGGTGACCCCATGCAGGCCTGGGCACCAACTCACCAGCTCGGGCTCGGGCACGGCCCGGATGACCTGGTGCAGGCGACTGAGGACCCAGGCGAGCCGCACGTTGCGGGAGATGCGATAGTCCTTCTTCATCAGGAGGAATACGTGCCCTGCCTCCTCCACCTGCGGCGGGAGCACAGCGGCCCAGGTCACCCCCGGAGCAGCCCCGGACAGTGCCCGCGCCGCCCCTCACCCCGGGCTGCTCCGGGCCCGCGCTGCCGGCCCCACTGCTCCCCATGGCGGCCGTGTCCCCCGTGTCCCCCGCGCCCGCCTCTGGCCNGGACAGCCGGGGCGGGCGGCCGAGCGCGTCCTCGAGCAGCCGGTGCGGTGCTCTGCTGTGCCGCAGCCCCTGGCTGCTGCACGGCTGTGGGGTGAGCGGGAGTGCCTCGGTCCCGCTTGAATGAAATGTCATTAATGGGAGAAGAACCTAACTATTTTATTAAGTGCTGTGAACTTATAGCATCCGTATTGTCCCAAGAAAAGAGCATTGATGACAGGTTAATAGGCTGTAAAGATGTACCTCCTTTGGTTTGTTTGGAAGCGCAGCCGGCTGGTCTCATACAGATCTCCTGTTTGTCTTGCTGGAAGAGAAAGTGAAAACGAATTGTCCCGCTATTCCTCGTTTATAGGATTTGTTACATTGTCTCTCCTTGTTTTAGCCACTTACTCATACCAGTCTTTTTACTAGGGTTATTTTTGTTGGTTTTTTTTTTTTTTTTTTAGTTATGAATATTCTTCATCATCCTCGTTGCTTGTATTAGTACATAGTCGTACTCTATCCCTTCTCAGTTGGGAGGACAAGAGTGACATGTAATATTCGAGATGGAAAGGAGGCATTCATTTATGTGGTGACATAATGATGCTTAGTTTCTGTTGCTTGCCTAATAACTCCTGTGGTCACTTTTACTTCCTTGACTGCCTTTCTATCATTGGGCAGATGTTTTCATGGGTTACCCTCAGATAATCATGAGATCTTGTTGTTGAGTTACAACGTTATCAGCTCTGATAATGTCATTGTGTACAGAAAGTCATGGATCTTTTTCCCCCTTTATTTTGCCGGTCAGGATTATTTTTCCCCCCTTTGTTTCACCACCTGCATTGCTTTACCTTTACCCACTCTGAATTTCACCTTTACCTTTTAGTTGCTCAGTACCAGGAGGTCTTTCAGAACCCCTACCATAAGCCCTGTCTTTACTGCCTTGGGCCAATTTTAACATAGTTAACAAATTCCTCAAAGCATCCTTCTGGAGTGGCACAGCATTCCTTGGAATCACTGATCAGTCTCATTGTATGCTTATTGCACTGCTTGCATCTGCTTCCAGCTCCTAATGGCTTTGGGAAGAGCCATGGGAAGGAGGGCTGAAGTGCACTGCTGCTGTGAGAGTGCTCCTTGTGCAATGGGCTTTCATTTATCCTCCTGAGGGCTTCTTGGATAAGCACAGGCAGGGGGCCAGGGGAGTTGCCATGGGTGCATATGCCTGACACCTCTGCAGTAAAGCACTGGCTACCAGCCCAGCTTGTAACACAGACAGTAGTTAACCTCCTTGCACAAACACAGTGCACACCAACTGTTACGGGCACATTTCTTAATTGGACAGGAACTGACTAGTCCTGTCACAAGATGAAGGAGAGTGCTTTTATCTCTAGGTGGAACAGCAGCAGCAGTCTGTTCCATGAATCCACTCTGTGGACTGAGGATCAAATTTTAATAAGGTTGATTCAGCTGTTTATTCTAAGGTGGTTAAAGTGAAATGAAGTCGTATCAGTGATTACCAACTTGTCAGAGTACAAATAAAATAGAATAATGTTGTGCTTTCATGAACATGGAAGGTGCCTGATAATCTCTCCATGAAGCTTACACTGGGCTAGTGTATTTAAATAGAGCAACAACAAACCCAATAGCGAGCATGCCAACAGCCTGAGTCACTCTATCTGCTTTCCCAATCGGTATTCCCTTTCTATTATTTGATAGTTTTGTCCCACCCTCTTCATGCTTATTGTATTATTATTGTACAGTTCTCAGTTTACATGAGAAGTTCCCTAGGCCTGGGACTTTAATTATATTTTGTGTAATACTTTAGTATGAGTAAGAGTAGAGTAAGAGTAGATAGCAGTTTAGAGGGTTTTTGCAAGAGTCAAGGATATGCCTTGATGTCTTTGGCAACACATCCCCAGTCCTGACACTTTGTCTGTCACCATCCTCCCTCACCCAGAAGAGGATGTCAGTGGGGAAGATTTCTTAAACCATGTAATCCCAGCAAAAGGCAGGAGGTGAGGTGTGTGTGGGGGGGTACAGCCCCAGTCTGTGGGGCATAAGGCCAGTGGGAGCTGCCAGTTCCCTTGGCAGCTTAAAGTGGGCAGAAAGAAAGTAAAGAACGAGGTGAAGGGCACAAACGATCCTGGCACTCATTTTGCAAAGACTATTTCGGATGAAGACATCACAGCACCCACAGCTGCTGTCAGAAAAGGCTGAGGGAATGCTCATCTTTGATCTGGGTTAGCTTAAGTGGTTTACAAAGGTGGTGTGAGCTAATTTTGATGACTTTGCCTGATGGGGTAAAAAGCAGATGTAGGTGATGTCTTCACTACACTCATCTAGATCTTTAACAGGGCAGCTGGCCAAGTGTTTGTCTCAGACACAAATTTCTTGCCTGAGTAGTCTGACCCAAGGGAAAGGGGTCAGTGTGAAATAATAGGAATTTTATCTCCAATGCCTCTGTTTCCTCCGAAAAAGAGGTTGTCTGTAGGACTGGCTGGGTCATTGATGCATGGGTGTGGATTCACAATGTCTTTGTTCCTCCTCCCTTGTCTGTCTTGTCTTTTTTTAGAGAGAGGAGAAGCAGCTGGAGCTGACCCTGGAGGCACTCATCAGTCAGGTGGCTGACCTGAAGAACTCCTTGGTCAGTTTTATCTACAAGCTGGAGAACGAGTATGACCGACTCACATGGTAAGGTGTCTCACTGTTGATCACTGCCAGAACTCTCAGACTTGGTTCAAAGGATTAATTAAAAAACATTATCTTCTTGTCAATAGGTTTAAATTTTCTTTTTATATTTGTGCTGGAGGAACCACTACACATCTTCCACAAGAAAACCAGCTGAAATCCATTGGCTTCATGCTGTAGAGTAATGAGTCATGCAAACACCTTTTAATCCAGACATTTTATGGGAACTAGACTTGCATCTGCAGTGAGTAGAAGTTCTCAGATGAAAGACTTTAGAGATCCACACATATTATAAAGTGAGGAATGGTTCTTTCTGCATTTCCTGACCTTTTCCGGCTTTTTATGGCTCTGATATAAGCTGAGCTTTTTTATTTTGCTGATTCTGCTTTACTCCATGGTTTGGGAGCCTTGCAAGATGGCATTCTCTTCCTGGAGAATATGGAGTATAAAGATGTTAATAGCTGCAGCTTAATAAACTATATGGTATCTTAGTGTCTGCCCTTCACAAACAAGTTAACATTTATAGTTAATGTTGCAAAAAGCAGGAGAACTGATGAGTCCCGCACAGAAACCAAGCTGAAGAGGACCTCCTTGAAAAGATTATCAGTTATTTAGCTTCATTGTTTCTTAGTCTGGATAGCCAGGCTATAAATATTTTCTCTCCTGGCTGTGCTGGCTGTACTAGGATGAAATTTTTTCTTAGACCTTGCTCCAGAGTTTCACTGGGAGAGGTAGTGACACTTCTGTGTGTGTTACTGAAATCCCAAACAACTGTCACTTTCAGTGGTACTGCTTGTAATGTCCCTGAGATATTTGCTGCATTTGAGCCATTTCCAGTAAGGACTGGGGTTTGTCCACACCTGCATATTCAGCCCTAGGTTTTACTGCTTACCGTATGGAGTAGACTGATTAACAGTGTTGTTTCCTCACTCCTCAGTCATTTGAGTGAAGAGAAAATAGCCCTGTGTGGCATCCCCTTTCATCTTCCATCTTTATTTGCTTTTCCAGGCCTTCAGTTCTGGACAGCTTTGCATTGCTCTCAGGACAGCTGAACACTTTGAATAAAGTGCTAAAGCATGAGAAGACCCCACTACTGCGAAACCAGGTGATCATCCCCCTAGTGCTGTCTCCAGACCGCGATGAGGAGATCATGGTAAGACATGTCCCTTGAGTATCAGAGAGTGCTTGAGTGCCTGATATTCAGCTGGGTGTTCCTCAGTTCTGGGCGTAAAGGAAGAAAGGGCAACAAGTATTTCTGTCTGAGAACTGCTTTGCTGTGGGGTTGTCACCTGCAAACACTTGCACTGGATACACTTTACAGAAGGTGTTCCTGTTAATAAATATGTTGCTGTTACTAAACAGGCACAGTGCAAATTCCTAAGCAAGTTGTTGAAACTTCCTAGTGGTCCCCAGATCGAGGTTTCCCCTGTAGCTTTGTTCAGCACCATGGCCTGTGCCCTGGTCTGGAGCTGCCTGAGTGCTGGGCTGCAGGAAGAGGCTCTGAGTGAGGCCTGTCCCACTATTGCAGCGGCAGACAGAGGGGCGTGTCCCGGTGTTCAGCCATGAAGTGGTGCCCGACCATCTTCGAACTAAGCCCGACCCTGAAGTGGAGGAGCAGGAGAAGCAGCTGATCACAGATGCAGCTCGAATTAGCCCTGATGCAGCGCAGGTAGGTAAAGAAGAGTTTGATTCTTCTGCCTTTTATCCCTAGAGCACAAGTTGGCCTTTAACTGCTTCCTCTACCCTTCCATTTGACAGTTTTCTTTTTCTTCTGTGTCCTTTCCTGTCTGAGATTTCTCCAGCTGACTCTAGCTGAGGTTTGGTTTCCTCCACAGTTTCACAAGGGTATCCAGCTCTCTGGCTGTTCACAGGAGGTGCCATCCAACCAGTCAGAGGAGAAGACTATCACATTCCCACAGTGCCCTTCTGCATGCCTTAGCACTGGGCACTCTAGGCTCAGCTACCAAAACACTTACATTTGGTTACACAGATCCTGGGAAGGGAAAGCTTGTTCATTTATCTTGCTGATTTGTGCTGAGTTGGAGGTATCCTGGCAGTTTCTGACAGTTTTCATTTTGCAGAAACAGATCCAAAGTCTGAACAAAATGTGCTCAAATTTGCTGGAGAAAATCAGTAAAGAGGAGCGTGAATCTGAAAGTGGAGGTATGTCCCTGAGGTGGGAGTGGAGTACAGGGTTTAAGCAGCAGACTTGAGAGAGTAAAGGCAAAATAGGTATATTGGAGAGCCTGAAGATGGGAAATACAGTTGAGCAGCATAAATGAAAACATTCTAGAAGATGTAAGATTGGCTGTGCTGGAGCCCCCTAATTTGAGAAGGAAGCCTGTGGGTGCAGTGTGTATTCCTTGTGTGACCTGTGCATGGTGGGAAGGTCACTCCAGCCCTTTGACATATCCCCCTTTGACGAGGTGATAAGTATCTGCCAAGAAAACTTCCCAATCAACTTTAATTAATAAAAAAGCTGTGAAAATGCAGCAGCAGTGAATGAGAAACTCTTTAGCTATATTCTGAAGGAGTCTGCATGTTTGGCAGGCTCTTGTGTGATCCTGTCTAGGTAATGGGTGCTTCAGGCTCATGGCCAGCCTTTTCTGTTTGTGATGTTCACTGTTCCCAGGAGTGCCACACACTACTCATAAAGGCAGTGGCAGTGTTTTTACTGCCATCTTTGACACATGACCAGAGCACAGGTTCTATCTAGTAGCTGGGATTAACAGTATAATTGGGTACACGTGTAGTAAAAAAAACTTAGACACCATGTTGCTTATGAGCCTCCAAAAGGGGGTGTTGCTCTTTTTTGTCTGAATCACAGTGCTTGTTACCTGCCATAGGATTCAACAAACAAGCCTTTAGTGGGAGCTTCTTATGGGCATGGAGGAGTTAGCTCACTCTATCCTCCTTCCATGAGCAGATTATGCCCTGCTCTCAGTGAAAAAGCTCTTGGATCACCAGTGTTCATTGATTTTGCAGCTTCTTTGACCTTGCTGAGACTCTTATAGGACAGCCTGTAAGAAACTCATCTCTATTGCATGCACTAAAGTAGCTGAAAAGTAAATTCAGGACCAGCTATGCTGCTTTTTAGACCTGATTGCCAAGTCTAAAAATAACTTCCAAAATAACTTATTTTTTACAGGTTTGCGACAGAACAAGCAGACCTTCAACCCTGCAGATACCAATGCACTGGTAGCAGCTGTGGCCTTTGGGAAAGGGCTGTCAAACCGGAGACCCCCAGGCTCTGGGGCATCTGTCCAGTCGGGCCAGGCAGGAGCTGGTGCCATCATTGCCGGTGCTTCAGGCATGCAGCAGGTCCCAATGACAGGTGCACCAGCTCAGCAGCAGCCAATGCTGGCGGGAGTGCAGATGGCACCAGCAGGACAGCCAGGTAAAGTTCCATATCTGAGATCAGCTGAAATCCAGGGACCAAGAGAGACAAATGCAGATGTAGAGATTCTTCCTCAGTTACCTTTTAGATGTAACTAAGGATGAGGTTCCTTTCTGGCCTTAATAACATGAGTCAGGTTATAATAGAGGAGTAATACCTGTTTCAAATTGGCTCAGAGGGTGAGGTGGATCCCAGCCAACCAGCTTCAGCTTCTTAACTCCCACTGCAATACTGTTTTAATAATAGACTTAGTGAACATAGGAATCAATATAGGGTTAGGGGAGATAGAGGGAGATCACAGTTTTCAGGGATCTGTACTGGGGGTTTTTCTGTGAAATTTAAGTTGTGTGTAGGTAATAAAGTGAAAAAGTTTGATGATAATGAGTTATTTAGGGTAAGAAAAAAAAAGTTTTCTGTCAAATTTTAGGATTTCCTGTACAAAGTGACTTTGTTTAATAGCAGCATATGACATTTGCATTGAATATAAAATGAAATACATAGGCATAGAAATTTGACTGTACACATCCAGCACCTGGACCCTAATCTGCTTACTTGTATTTGTGAAATACATCTATGATAGAAGAGTTCTGTAAATACAATATTTTGGTATTCAGTTGAGGCAGAAATACAAACCAAATACTAGGAATTTCTAGAGAAGAAACAGAAAAACAGAGGATATCTTCAGGCCATTCTGTAAATCCATTGGGCACCCCCACACCTGCAATAGTATGGGCGGTTCTGATATCTTCCCTGCTAGAGGGCATAGCTCTGGGATAGGGAGAAGAAACTGGAAGCCTATAAAGTCTCAAATTATATACAGCAGGCAAATTAGGAATGATTGTTCATTGTCTCCCATGATACAGAAGGATTGGTGAAAGTGCACCAGTCAAAACGTGGGCTTGTAGGTTTGGAACAAAAGGGAGATGCTTTTCTGAATACTAAATAATTACACTGTAGAGCACATTGTCTTGTGTGTGATAGGCAGATAATGTTTATATGAGATAGAAAAATAAGTAAGTACACAGACTTCTGGATGAAAAATCAGTCGACATCTAGTCCTGAGGATACCAGCTCTGATTCCATGACACTGAGCAACAATATGTTAGAAGCAGAATAGGTATTCTGCAGGGATATCACTGCAGGCTTGCCCTGTTCTGTTATTCCTCCGTAAAAGTCCTCTGTTGTCAGGATAAAAGTCCTCTGTTGTCAGGAACAGGTTTGACCTGGGGGACCTGCAGGCTAACCCTGTACTGTCAGAATGTTTATGTTCATTGTGATTTAGGATATCCGATATCCTAATTGGTGTTTTCTTGCCTGTATATAATGACTGTTGTTTACCCGTGTACTTGAGCAACAACATTGATCCTAAGTTAAGTATGTATTTATGTAAGGGTTAGAAAGTCATTTCCACTAATTTGGTAACAAAGAAGACCTGCTGTGATTCCTGGCTGAATACTCAGAGACACTGTATCCAGGGTGGGGAGAGTCACTTCTGTAGGCCAAGCAGAGTGCACTGGTAAGGAGAGCACTTGTCCAGCCTGAGTGATGGAGACAGTACCTCTTGGTAAGAGCAGCCACAGTGGGTTTTGGCAAAGGTCAGTCTCACTGTTCCGCTTTTGATAGCTGAGGCTGAAAGAATACAAGAACCAAGTATATCTTGGGAACAATTGTTTTTTGGGAATTTTAAGCCAGAGTTTTGTTTGATACCATTGGATACAGTAGCCATTAATTTCTGCAGTTCCTGTTTGAATTACATTTTGACTTCTACAACACTTCAGGCAGTATGTCCCACAGCTTTATCACATTTTGCTGAAAATCTTCTATGTTTAAATATTTTGCTTGATAATTTAATTGCATTTTTCTTTTTTTACCCATGTTGGGTAAAATGGGAAATGGTGAATAATCATTCCTCAACTACCTTATCCATACTACTTTTCATGTTTTGGAAATATGTCATGTCTCCTTCCTTTGTCTGTTTTCAGGTGTTTTTCCCTTAGCTAAGTCCTATTCTCTTTAATATTACTTTGTGTGAAAATTATAACTTGGACCATTCTTATCACTCTTACATGCACTTTTTCTGGTTGTTCTCAAGACTGGGAACACCACAACCACTCACAGTGTCTCAGATGTAGGTGAACCATACAGTTCTGTTCCCAGTTGTTTTTGGGGTGATATCTAACAGTATTTGTCTCCTGATTGTTAGTGATATCTATCAGTTATCTGTCTACTCATTGCTGGCAATGACCCACTATGGATATGTTTGAGAAAGTTTAATAATCTTTATTGTTTTAGGCTTTTGCTTATCCAATCTTTTCTTGTCCTGCTGTACTACAATTTTAACTTTCAGAAGTTTTTTCAGAAGGGATTTCAGAATCCCTTTTTTTCTGCTTCAGATTGAAGACACTGAAGGAGTGGTTTTTTTAATATCCCTTTGTGCTGCTCTTTAATCATGGGGTTTTTTTCAGATCATCTTAATTTTGTCTAGCACTCTACACTTACTGTAAGCTGCTAGTAAGATGTCTTTTAACACACTCCCATGTGAGATTGGTATCAGCAGAGAGTAGTAATGCCCAAGAGGTGGATGTGGATTCAGGAAATTAAGAAATCTGAGAGAGGCTTAGTAATTTAAATATACACCCTGACTATAAATAATGCTGCAGGGAAGGGGATCCAGATTCTCTGAAATGGAAGTGGACACAGTCTGGGTTCTTCTCAGTGTGTTGCTGCCAGCAACTTCTATGAGACTAAGTCCAACACTCCTGTAGGAGCCTCCTGACAAAGAAAAAGGCTTTCTGAGGATGGAAAAATAGTAGAATTGGAGTGGATAGCAGGGGGACACAAGAATTGTCAAGGAGATTTATCAGCAGAGAAAGATGCCAATTTGTAGAAATGATTGATCATGTAGGTCAGGAGCTGGAAGGGGCTGTAGCAAATGAGCCTGGAGTGGAGCTGGAAAAGCCCACACAGGGTCATTGTGAGTCTTTCATGCTCCTGAGCAAATATCCTCTCATATTGCTGATTTTGCACTGCTTTTTCTTTTTTCTCTCTCCAGGAAAAATGCCGAGTGGCATAAAAACAAATATAAAATCTGCCTCAATGCATCCGTATCAGAGATGAGCTGAGATGAACCAGACCTGTGGAACAGCAACATTTGTTACTGCTGCAGGCACCCCACCTGGATTCCTTCCAGGACTTCCAAGTCCCTTCACATATCCACACAATTTATCCGGGAACACAGGGTTTATAAGCCCTTCCCTGGATTTTATTTAGTGCTGGGTGGCCTGTGTGGAGCTGCTGCTGGCCATGTCTCCTGGACACAAGTACTCTGTTCAGCCAGAGCAGAGGACTTTGCTTCCGGTATTGATGCCATCTTCTCCAGGTCTGGCCTGGAGGAAAACTGCCCTTTCCTGACACAGAACCTGAAGGGCTGCACAGAGCTCCTTGTTTCTGCTTGTTCACTTGGCATGTTCTTTCTTTACTCCATCTTGTTTAATAAAGACCTTGTTATGCTCACTGTGACACACTAGTGTCCATCTCTCGGGTCATACGGACTCTCCCTCTGGATAAGGCTGCAGAGCAGCTCCAATCTAAACCACATGGAAAATGTTGGAGGCCAAGTGCTGGAGCTGCAGGTTTGTGTGTAAAGGAGTGTAGTACAGTGAGCCAGCAGGGTACAAACATCTAGTGCATTAAAAAACAATTATGTCTATACCCCAGAAAGCAAAATACTGGGAAGGACTATTTCAAGGCCCACACCAAGAAGGCAGCACTTGAGGAACAGAAGCACAGAGCTTTTGTATTCTGATGCTGCAGCAAATCTCAGCTGCAGCATCTGATTTCACTTCCATGCTTCTCTGCTTCTGTTTTCTATAAAGTTTTTTAGCTGCTTCAGAATTAATATATCACTTTGGAAAGGTATTGCAATGTGCCCAGGACTGTAACACTTCTGGATGGGCCAGGTTGTGAAGTCTGGCTCATTTCTCTTAGGAACTGGGCACTGTGAAGCCATCCCTGTTCTGCTTTCTGCCCTTGAGCTGTAACATATAATCTGCCTAATGAGAGATTCCTGTGAGACAAAAGGGTGGGGGCACATCCCCATGGATCCTGTCAGTACATACAACACTATCCTAAAGGACCAATGTCCTGCCTCTGGTTGCCCTTGCATGGACTTCCTTTTGACTTGTATTGAAAGCCAGCAGTGTTTTACTCAATAGCATCTGTCAGCAATCTTTGGGTGAGGAAATCTCCACTCAGCAGATACAGCTTGCAGCTGCTCCCGCACTGCTTGCCTCTGAGCTAATCAGATCCAGCTTATTTGTGGAGGCTGTGAGCTGTTCTCCCAAAACAAAACCATCCACAAAGCTGTGACTAGGGTAGTTATTGACCCATTTTATCCTGCTGGCCCTTGAAAAGCACTGAGCTGGGAAGTAGAAAGTTGAGCTGGAAGCACAAACAGCTTATACAATAGCAAAGCTGCTCCACTAGTGATGAGTCCAGTGATGTGTCTGCAGTGGCACCATCCCAGCCAGACTGGTGGAATTGCTTTTTGCTTCTAATGAATGTGGAGGTCCTGGTTCTCTGGGATGCCACTGACTGCTGCAGAGAACTGGTGTGAAGGCAGTGGAGGCATGTTAGTGGTTCCAGTGTGAGTGGTTCCTGCAAAAACAAGCCTGACAGCCAGGGAGTCGGAGCCTGCAGGGCTATTCCTGTGATGCGCTGAGAACCACGGGAATGGCTGTTCCCTGCTCTGACTCATGTCCTTGCTTTGGTTGGAAAGGAAGGCAGAATACTGTATGTGTCAGACCCTTGGCGCTAGCCATTCATGGAGCCTCAGCTCTAGGACGCTGCTTCCTTCGTCCCCCCAGAGTGGCTTCCTTATAAAGCTGAAATGCCTCAGTGCCGGAGCTCAGGCCCAGCAGCTGGCCGGGTGATTCGGGGCAGCCTGGGACACAAGCAGGGCATGGCTGCCTGCTACCCACGCTAACCTGAGTAAAACGCCTCCAATGGGGCAGGCCAGACCTTTCACACACTTGGACGGGAGGAAGGGAAACACAGGCAGGGTTTTTTTCCGTAGATTATAAAGCAGGGAGGCTGGCCAGGCTCGCCAGCGTAACTTCCTGCATGACACAGGCTGCCGCGAATTAGTTCTTGTGTAAATTAGAGCACTGTTGTTAGGAAAACAGTTGCTTTTAAACTGATGTATCCCTGCTACAGTGGCTGGTGAGTTGTTCTAGAAACTATTTTCCTTGTTGCACCTTAAATTGAAGCTGCATTTCTTTAATGCCCTTCAAGTCAGTGGATCTTCTCAGGAAAGAACTAAGCCATTGAGCTATCAGTACCAGAGGAGTCAGATACTATGATCAAGCTTTCCTGATCCTTTTTTATGACAGACTGAACTGATGAAAGTCCCTTTTGCTTTAAGGCATATTTTCCATTTCTTGACTCACATCCAAATCTCCTTATGCATCTGTGTCCTTTGGGACGCTGGACCAGAGTACACTATTCTAATTGTGGGAATGGGAATTTCAGATGTAGAGTGACTTTAACCTCTTACCCGGTAGCTGCCAGTGCTTGAAAGTTTAAACAGGCAACAGGAACAAGCTTTTTACCCATAAAGTCACTGTGGAATTCATGGTCCACTGCTTGTCACTGTGGTCTGCAAGTCCAACAGGGATTCACTATTCCCAGTGCACTGTGTCAGAATAGAAGTATTTTGTAAAAATAAAGTATTCTGCCCTGCTGGGTCAGGGCAAAGGCTCAGGCTGTGTCCTGCTGTGGCAGGGGCCAAACAGGTGATTGAGAAGCACATTCTTCCTCTGAACATGGGATGTGCTGCTATTCTGAACCCTCGTGGTTTTTTCACTCTGCCTTATCCAATTGCTTTTGAACTTGTCTCTTGCGAGTAGGATAATCTTGGCAGGGGGGAGGCTCAGCCCTGGCATGGCAGGTGCTGTGGGCTGTCTGGGTTCCAGTTCAGGTGCAGGAGAGTGATGGAGAAGGGCACTGGTTTGTTCTGGCCCCCCAAGCCTCTTTCTCATCTACCTGCCAAGCTCTGGTGCAGACTATGGGATCCTTTGCTGCCCTGGGGATGCCAAGGGCTCCCAGGACAGCAGGCTGTACCTATAATGACTTCATTTTTTTTCCAGGTAACCAGCTTTACACTATTTAGCACTCCCTGCTGCAAATACATGCTCTGTACCAGCTCCGCAGGGAGCAGCTCCTCTCCTGCCTCACATTTGGCCAGGCCCATGAGCTTGTTCCTTGATCGCACACGCTGCTGTACCAGCTCTCTGATACTTAAGAACATACAGTGCCAAAAAATATATCATGTTCGTCTGATAGGCTTATTGTCTGTAATCCTTGTTGATTGGTATTTATATTTCTCTGCTTTAAGTCTTTATCAATATCATCACATATTTTTTGGTCATTATTTTGCATGTGATGTCTGTCAAATAGACACACCTGTTTACAAGGCCATCCTGTTTACTTTTTTAACATGTTGGCATAACATCAACTTGTTTGTCTGGAGCTTCTCCAGGTTTCCTTGTGTTACTGGATCTCAGCATTAATAGTTTGGATTTTTAAAAGCGGGTGTTATTTTTTTGGATGAAGGATACCCAGACTGTTGAGTTTTCAACACTTGCCTTATGCAACTGTTGTTTAACATCCTCCTGAGTTACTGTTAGAGTAGAAAGTGTTTCACTCTCATGACAGGAATCCTTCATCTGGCTTCCTCCCAAATGCAGGAGAGAGAGATATTTATTGCCTTTCCTTCCTGCCCAGCTACCCACAGGCCCCCTGTTCCTGGTCTGTATCATGCATGCAGCCATGCTGGTGCCTGTAGCCTGTCCTGCTGCTGCCCTGGGCCACATCATCTCTGGGAGTCATGAAGCTCAGAGTGGTACCACCACTTCCCTGCATCTCTCTGCATCCAGTGATCAGCATGACAAACACCTGCTGCTTGTTTGTTCCCTTGTCCTGTCCCCAAGCAGTGGTATGCACACAGATGTCTTTGTTTAAACGAGCAAAATGTAACACTTTTGTTTGTTTTTTTAACCTACAGATCTTTTAAATGGGTGTCATTAAACCTTTATGGTGGGAGTGAAGTATGTGAGGTGTGAGGGAAGAAATGGCTGAAAAGATAGGGGGACAGAGGAGTTAGGGGAACCTCTTCATTCTCCACACTCCATACCACAGGTAAGGCAGGGTTTTGGTGTGAACTGCGGGGTTGGTTTCCATCCTCCTGCTAGGATAGGATCTTTCTACTAGAAATATCTGGGACGAAAGAAGAAGTCTTGTGGTGGTTGGGTTGAGAAAGGTGGAGCACTTTTTTATGCTAAGAAGCAAAATAATGGGGTGAACGCTGCCAAAGGGTGTTCAGCCAAGTTTTTCATCTGCATTGTTTCCAAAGCAGCTTAACCTGCAGCTCACAGATGAGAGAAAAACACATGGAAAGAGCAGAAAAACGTGCATCTTAACAGAGCTCTGAAAAGCTCAGAGACTGCTTAGAAGTCAAAGGCACAAATAAAGGGCAAGTGGTGGAAACATCTCCCCAGTCTGGGTCTGTGCTTTTCCCCAGGCTCCCTGCATGAGCTTGGTGCCCCCAGGACAGGCAGAGCCTGTCTATGTGACAGCTGCTGCCTACAAATGAATACACAGGTGCTTTCAAAAAATACCATGGATCACCTCCTTCCACCCAAATGCAATGAATCTTCAAATATCTTAGACATAAAATGTTACCACTTTGTACCTCACAAAGATGCTGTGGTGGTAAAAGCTCATGCTCAGGAAATGGGATGTTTGGATGTATTTGTAATACATGCCATAAAAATAGTTCAAGCTGATGTGATTCCACAGTTTATTTATTGTCCCTATGATACTGCAGCCCTCTGGCTGGATCCAGGAACACTGCCTTGGTGGAAACCTGCACCTAGAAATTAATGAAAACCTTCTGTAGTTTCCTCAGGGGTAACCCTGTACATGAAAGTAATGCAAAGCATGCTGTCTAGCTCCTCTAAAGGAGGAGCCTTTGCCCCTTTTATTTTTTTTTTTTGGTGTGTTTTTTAAAGAAAGGAAATTACTGCATGTGTATTTCTGACTGAGATGCATATTTTCCAAAGTCAGGGGTTCAAGAGGTGTAGTTCCTGCAGCAGCTATCTTATCACTGCTGCTCAGATTCTGTCACTGATTTACCTGCTTGTTGTGAGGCTTCTCCCTACCATCATGTCCAAGCAGTTTTTGCACTGAAGTAGCAGTGGGTGCTAAGTCCTGCCTGGTATGTCAGCTCCTTTCCTCTGAATAAAGACTGTGCCCACGGGTACTTTTGCATTAAGTTTTTTATTTGCTGGCCATACAATGGGGTAAAGGCCATGCTTTGAGGCACTGCTGCCTATGGCTGTTATTTCAAAGCTGAAGCATTTCCCAGGGTGTTCCTCTTTTGTACGCAGACCTCCGCCCTCCATGCCCTTTGCCAGGTGGCTTTGGTGGGACGTGTCTGTCTTCCACTGCCATGTGCCAGT